TCAGGCCTTCCCAAGTTTTGGGAACACAAAGGTGTTCTTGTTTGTGAATAGTTGCTAGTTTAACTTTCTGTGGGAGGTAATAAAGTCCTGAGACCCTGTATTTTGACCTGTGTTAATTCTTCTTTAAGCATTTGGTAGAAATGTCCGGTGAAGTAAACTGGGCCTGGAGATTGCTTCTTTGGAAGTTTTTAAATTATGAATTCAGGTTTCTTGGTAGGTATAGGGCTACTGAGATTATCTGTTTTACATTGGGTGAGTTGTAGTTTGTGTTTTTTGAGGAATTGGTACATTTCATCTAAGTTGTCAGTTTTATGTATAGAACTATTCATAATATTCCCTTATGATACCTTTGATGTCTACAGAATCAATCTTGATATCCTGTTTCATTCCTGTTCCTGATACTTTGTGTCTTTTCACTTTTTTTCAATTTTATTTGGTTTGCTTTATGATGCTTTCAAAGAATCAGCTCTTTGTTTCATTAATTTTTCTCGATTGTTTTTCTTTTCTCCATTTCATTGATTTCTGCTCCTATCATTATAATTTCTTTCCTCTGTTTGCTTTGAGTTTCATTTGTTCTTTGTTTTGTAAGTTCTTAAAGTGAGAGCCTAGATTATTGATTTTGCAATACCTCTTTAATGTAAGCATTCAGTGCTATAAATTTCTGTCAGCACTGGTTTAGCTGTATACCACATATTTTGATATGTTGTATTTTCATTCAGTTCACTGAATTTTTAATTTTCCTCAAGTCTTTCTCTTTGACTCATTTAGCAGTGTTTTGTTCAATTTCCAGTGTTTAGAGATTTTTTTTCCTATTACTAATTTCTAGTTTGATTTCATTGTGGTGAGAAATCAGTCTGTATGATTTTTTAAAAATTTGTTGAGTTGTTTTTGTTGTTTCCAGGATATGGTCTTTATTGATATATGTTCCATGGGAACTTGAAAAGATTGTGTATTCTTCTGTTGTTGGATAGAGTATTCTGTAGAACACTGCTTAGACCCACTTGGTTGATAAAGTTGTTTAGCTTTCTATATCTTTGCTGATCTTCTGCCTAGTTGTTCTGTCAGTTGTTGAGAGAGTGCTGAAGTCTCCAGCTATAATTGTGGATTTGTCTCCTTTTCCTTTCAGTTCAGTTTTTGTTGGACATTTTGCAACCCTATTGTTTGGTGCATACATGCTTAGAATTACTCTATCTTCTTGGTGGATTGATGCTTTTAACATTGTATAGTGTCGCTCAGTATTTCTGGTAGTTTTATTTGTTCTTTGTACTGGTAGTTTTCTTTATTTGGTTTTAATATAGCTACTATGTTTTCTTTTGATTAGTGTTTACACAATATATCTTTTCCATCCTTTTACTTTTGATATGCCTATATTTGAAGTGAGTTTCTTATAGACAGCATAGAGTTGTGCCATGCATTTTTTTTTTTTTTTTTTTTGAGATGGAGTTTTACTCTTGTTGCCCAGGCTAGAGTGCAATGGCAAGATCTCAACTCACCACAACTTTGGTCTCCTGGGTTCAAGCCATTCTCCTGCCTCAGCTTCCCAAGTAGCTGGCATCACAGGCGCCCACCACCATGCCCAGCTAATTTTGTATTTTTAGTAGAGACAGGGTTTCTCCATGTTGGTCAGGCTGGTCTCGAACTCCCAACCTCAGGTGATCTGCCTGCCTCGGCCTCCCAGAATGCTGAGATTACAGGCGTGAGCCACTGTGCCTAACCTATGCCATATTTTAAAACCCATTCTACCAATCTCTGTCTTTTAATTGCCATATTTAGACTATTTAAATTTAATCTGATTATTTATATGGGCTTTAAGTTATAAGCCATTTTTTTTTATTCTGTTAGTTCTCTCTGCTGTTTGTTTCTATGTTTTATGTTTCCTGCCTTGAACATTTTTAAGAATTCCATTTAGATTTATCTATAGTATTTTTCAATGTATCTCTTTGTGTAGCTTTTTTAATGGCTGCTGTAGTATAAGATTATACATACATTACAGTCTAGTGGTGTTATAATTTTATCAGTTTGAACATGTAGCAACCTTCATGTTTCTTTACCTTCCTGTTTGTAATATATTGTCTTAGCTTTTATGCATACATTTGAAACTTTATCAAACAATGTTATTATTTTTGCTTCTATCATCAAATAGAATTTAGAGAACTCATGAGAGGAATATTCTGTTTGCTTATATTTTTGTTTATCATGTTTTTTCTTCCTTTTTAATGTTGTAGTGTTCCTTCTTTTATTGTTTGGTTGTTTGATTTCTGTTTAAAGAACTTTCTGTAGACATATTTTTTGTGTAGGTCTGTTAGTACACAAGTTCTTTTACTTTTCCTTTGTCTTAGAATGTCTTAATTTCCTCTTAATTCATGAACATTTTTGCTAGATATAGGATTCTGGGTTGACAGTTCCTTTCTTTCAGCACTTGAAAAACATTGTGTCACTTTCTTCTAACCTCCATGGTCATTTGAATTGTTTTTCTCCTATAGATAAAGTGTTTTTCCTCTTGCTGATTTCAAGGTTTTTTTCTTTGTGTTTAGTTTTCAGAAGTTTGACTTTGATGTGCCTTGGTTGTGGATTTCTTTGTCTTTATCCTGTTTTGAGTTCCCTTAGCTTCTTGAATCTCTAGGTTTGTGTTTCTTTTGACAAATTTAGAATGTTTCAGCCATTATTTCAAGTATTTTTTATTTTTTTTAAGCCCTGTCTTCTTTAACCTCTCCTTCTGGGACTTCAGACACAAATGCTAGATCAGTTTTGTAATTCCACAGGTGAATGAAGATTTGTTCTTTTTTTTTTTTTTTTTTTTTTTTCTTTTTTCTGAGATGGTCACTCTGTTGCCCAGGCTGGATGGAGTGCAGTGGCATGATCTCAGCTCACTGCAACCTCTACCTCCTGGGTTCAAGCGATTCACTTCCCTCATTTTTTTTTTGCTGTTGTTTGAATTGGATAATTTCTGTTTTTCTGTCAGTTCACTGATTTGTTTCTCTGTCTACTTCATTCTATCATTGAGTTCATCCATTGAGTTTTTTGTATTTCTGTCATTGTATTTTTTAATTCTAAAATTTCCATTTAGTTCTTCTTTATGTCTTCTATTTCTTTATATATTACCACCCACTGGGGACAAGTGTCCAAGCTCCCTACTTCGCTTTCCCTGAACACCCTCCGTGGAGGCATTAAGGGTGCTTTATAACAATTCTTCAAGAGTGGAACTCTAGGCTTCCCACTCACCCTTTTTTCCCTATGGTATTTGGCTGGAATAGAATAGTTACTGAATAAAAGTTTCTGTCATGGTAGGCTGCCCCTGTCCTGGTCCTTTACCTAGACAATGGACTTTTTTTTTCTTAATCTGCACCCATTGGCATTTCTAGGTTACTGGTTTCTTCAGCTTCAAGTCTGGGATATATTGGGCAAAAAGAAAACCCAGGGAACTTACCACCATGTCATTTCTAGACACCTTTGCCTTTTCTTCCCCACCCTTCAATGTTTTGTTATGTTGGCTTTAATTTAATATCCAGAGTTTTTAGTTGTGCTGAGCAGGAAGAACAGTGAAAAGTGTGTCTATTTCATTTTTCCTGGAATCCAGTACCTGAGTAGTAATAGTCTTTTGTGGTATGTTCCCTAATACTAAGCAGTTCTAGTTTGTGTGTGAGTTATGTTGTGTAGAATGTATTTTGTTTTCTTTGGTAATAAAATAGAAATTTATGGTGAGTTCCTTATAATACTTATGCTTGAAGACAGTCATTAGTCGATGTGCTATTTTTCTCCTGTCAGATAATGCATTACAGCTATAAATTTTTTCGTGTTTTCCATTCTTATAATTACTTTTATGTGCACCCTCCCTAATTTCATATCTATGTTGAAATATGCAAACCAAAATTTAGTACATTTTTAAAGGAAAAAAAGAAAACTTTAAACAAACACTGAATAATGTGAGTCTATTATTACCTAAATTTTGATAGTCAACCTCTTGTTAATAAATACTGAGATTGTGTTTGCTTTTTGTGATATTTTACTTTCCATGATGTGCCACATGTCTTTAGCATAATCTCCTTTTCTGTATCAGATACTTAAAGGGATGTCATCAAGTTCTTCTGTGTCTAGGAGTAGTTTTATGTTATGTGAGGCTTATCTAATTGGGAGGGTTCTTTAAGATAAATAGTACAGGACTTTGGAATAGGCAGTGTAAATGATGAACCCATGAAGCTTAAAATTCACTAGCTTTATAATATATAAAGCCCTCAACTATAAAATAGAAAGAGGGAAGAGATAATTTCTGATTATTATATTTTCTGTATATTATGAGCTTGATAACCCTTAAAAATCAGCCACTCCAAAGGGATGATTCAGGGCAGACCCCTCTTCTCCACACACTGTTGCACAGGGAAGTTTGCTTTACTTGATCCAGTTTTTAAGGAACCTCATCTCTTCTACTCTGCCCTTTTCTCCCCAAGTTCTGTCTTTCTATTATTTCCAGTGTAGTTAGTAGTGATTTGTCTCACCTTTGTGATCATTATTTAGACTAGTAGAAAAAGACAGAAAAGAAAAGGGCTCATCTTCTTTATTTTAGGATATAAGTAGTTGGAAATTTTAAGAAACATTCTCCCAATGGTCTGTAATCCAGTTAGTATTTTTTCCTATAATTGGGAGAAAAGTACATTGAAGGAATTTATTTTGATTTAGTGAATTTAATACATTGAGGACATATAATTCATTTTAGATAATACTTCCTCATATTTCAAAATTAGAACACAGTGGCATAATAGAATGTCATTACTTGTTCCCCCTCCTATTTTGTTCTTATTCAACACACCTAGTCCCCAAAGCCTTGCCTACAACATTATCATCCAAACACACCCCCTAATGCTTACTAATCATTATCATTTAAAATGGGGTAGATGTAAAACATTTTGACTATAAGGATATTAACTAAACATACTACTTACCTCTAAACTAATTTTATTCATTTTGAATGAGAGATAAATCTTTAGAAATTTTTTAACTTTCAGGTCATTTTTGTACCACCATCTTTTTTTGGCTGATGACTTATTTCAAGCCTGTTTGCTTTATATAAGAGGACTTTGTGAAGATGCAATTAATCTCAAAAATTATAATGACCATGAAAATAATCTATCTGCCATATGCCTTGTAAAGGTGAGTAGAAGTATACTACTATAAGCTAATATTGGTATATAGAAACTAGGAAGAACATATAGCATTTGAATTAAAAAATATACAGATTTCTAAATTCATAAATAAACCATCTCTTTCGATTACTACTGTTCTAAAATATCTGCAAAGAACATGAGTTCCTTGCAATAAATTTTAATAGTTAACATTTCTTGTAGTTTCTTCCTTATGAGTAACCTAAGTCCATAAGACCCTTTATTTTCAAATGTATTTCCAAATGTGTAATATTATTTAAAATAATCAGTTACTTCTTATACATAATTGATAGTTATCAACTATTCTTCCTCCTGTATAGCTGTCAAGATATTATCATAAGCTTCAACTCAGAAGTTTTGGTTAAATTTATGAATTCTCCTATTTCAAGATTCTAGAAAAAGTGAGCCTCTTAATGGAATAATTTAATTTCTATAAGATAGCTCTTTTGAGTGGTTAAGTATCTAGAACTAGTCTACAATTGAACAAGATTCTAGCAGTTTTTACTTCACTCACTCAATGTATGAGGGAGAAAAGCAAAATTGGTAGAGTTATCTAGACTAAGAAAGAGGAATTCTTAAGGGACTTGGACAAGTTAAATATTTGATAATTAGCTCGAAAATCAGTTGTATTGACTACATGTAACAGGATCAATACTTGTAAATCAACATCTGATGTTTAGAATTGATTATGTGTAGTGATTGATACATAGTAGGTGCTCAACACTAGTCTTTGAATAAAAGAATAAATTAATGAAGGAAGAGGAATTATTACATAGATGTATTTTTATACCTGTATTGTTTTATTTTTTATACGTATATTGAGAATGTTTATGTTTCAAAAGGATTAAATTCACCTTAAGTGGGAGACGTTTCACAGAGGAATCTTTTTGATTTGGTTTTTATGTAGAAGGAAATAGGATATGGTTTTCATATAGAAGGAAATAAAATACTCTGTGATATTAGATTGTTTTGTAAATGGCTGAGTGACAACATTTATTAATTTTTAATGATGAGTGAGAAGGCATAAAACACTTTAAAATACCTTTGAAGTCTGCACCTTAAATGCTAACAAATGATAGAGAACATGACCAGTGATAGAGAAGAAATGTTAGGACTCTTTCCTAGAGACCTTAGGCCATGTCAGCTTTAATATGGAACATCAGGAGGAAGAGAACAAACTTTTCCAGACAATATGTAAGTATTTATTATCTATTATATGCAAAGTGCTGTGCAAAGGAAATGAATACAAAGTGAAAAGGAAAGCTTTGCTGTTTTCAATCTGCTTACAGTTCATGGGAAGAAATAATTCTTTACATATAAAAATGAAAACTAATTTGAGAGATAGTTTCTTTGTTGTGCTAATCATTCTACCTAATCATTAGCAAAGTATAAGGTAAGAAATGTTTACGTGCAAACAATACTTGTAAAACAGTCATGTTACAGAAATCCAGAGAAGGCAGAGATTAGCCTTATTTGGAATTAAAGTTAGGTCATGCCTCATATTTTGAGCTAGGCTGTACTGGATTTGAATAGCCATAGGGGAGGAGATGAGGCTTTTAAATAAAGAATATTAATGTGAGTAAGGCATTCAATATATATTTGATTTGAAAATTAGATTGGCTCATGAATGTCAGGCCAAGAATAACACAGTAAGGGAAAAGTAGGATTTCAACCTGCCCATAGGGCAGGGGAACTCCTAGTGGTGATTGTTACGAGGGCAATTTACAAGAATGGGAATTTCTGATACTGTATGTGGAAAAGCCAGGTTTCGATGGAGGAAGAGCAGAGATTCATATCCTGGAGAACCAAGCTGGGGTCAGGAGTCAAAGGTGGCCAGTTATGCATTAGAATCGGAAGGTTATGCATAGCCCAGGGATGCAGACACCAATGAAGACTGACAATGAGGACGTAAGGAGTATGAAGCAAGGTTATGAATGTGAGGAATGGGATTGTTCAGAAGTTAATGCCATTAATGGTGGTCATACATGTACTCTGCTGGGATGAAAGCATACCTTTAAAGAGGGCGGAATTCGGAATTTCTTGAACCAGAAGGTAAAGAACATATGTTGTTTGTTCAAATCTTTACTTTCAAATGGATGGAACATTATGTTTTTGTATTACCAGAGATGAATTCTTAGCTTAGTTGATGGAGATTTCTCCTGGCTAGATTCTGAATGAATTTTGAATAAAATTCACCTATTTGAACAAAACTTAGTTCTAGAGAGATTGTCACTTATCCAAGTTGACAGAATCGTGTAGAGTTGAGACTTTGGATCATGTTTCACATTCGAATGAAATTTGTTTTATTGTGCTGTATTTGGGTGCTTATTAAAAATGTAAATATTTGTGTCCCATTCCTTTTGCAAGAGAGGGCAGTGAGTGGTACTGGTAATCTACATTTTAAATAGGTTCCTCAGTTAACTCTTATGCAGGATAAATTTTGAGAACTACTCTTAAAGAACAACTATTCAAAGTTTTTGAACATAGTATTTTAGGAAATTATTGTAATATTGGTCTTTGGGAAAAATTGGAAGTGGAGAGATACTTGGGTGATAGAGATCAGTTATTATGGTACTGGATAAATGCAGGTATAAGCAATAAAGACTTTAATTAGGATGTTGTCAGTAAGACCAGAATGGCAGGGAGGTTTTGAAAAATTCAGACCTGGTAGTCAGATATGGAACCAGGAGAATGGAAACTTAAAGAGTAAATCCAAAATTTTAAGCCAGAGCAGTACTTTTCAATCTTTTTTGTTGTGGGAAGATACATTTATTAATTTTTATAGTATAACTATATGATAAAAAATAAAGATATCTGCATATTTATTAATGAAAATATATTTTGTTCAGAGAATTAACACAGTAGTGGAAAAATAATACTGAAAGAAGGAAGAATGATGGAATATACATGCATGGATGGAACATTATGTTTTTGTATTACCAGAGATTAATTCATAGCATAGTTGATGGTGATTTCCTCCATATAGATTCTGACTGAATTGTGAATAAAATTAACTTTGTTTGAATCATGTAATTTTACCCTCTTTTTGCTGTGTTGTGGGAAGTCAGGGACCCCGAATGAAGGGACCGGTTGAAGCCACGGCAGAAAAACATGAATTGTGAAGATTTCATGGACATTTATTAGTTCCCCAAATTAATACTTTTATAATTTATTATGCCTGTCTTTACTGCAGTCTCTGAACATAAATTGTGAAGCTTTCATGGGCATTTATCACTTCCCCAATCAATACTCTTATAATTTCCTATGCCTGTCTTTACTTTAATCTCTTAATCCTATCATCTTCGTAAGCTAAGGATGTATGTCGCCTCAGGACCCTGTGGTGATTGCATTATCTGTACAAATTGTTTGTAAAACATGTGTGTTTGAACAATATGAAATCTGGTCACCTTGAAAAAGCACAGGATAACAGAGGGAACAAGGGAGATAACCATAAGGTCTGACTGCCTGCGGGGCCTGGCAGAATAGGGTCATATTTCTCTTCTTGCAGAAAGCAAATAGGAGAAATATTACTGAATTTTTTTCCCAGCAAGGAATAATCCTGGGAAGGGAATGCATTTCCAGGGGGAGGTCTCTAAAATGGCCGCTCTGGGAGTGTCTGTCTTATGCAGTTCAAGATAAGGGATGAAATATGCCCTGGTCTCCTGCAGCGCCCTCAGGCTTGCTAGGATTAGGAAATTCCAGCCTGGCGAATTCTAGTCAGACCGGTTGTCTGCTTTCAAACCCTGTTTCCTGTTAAGATGTTTATCAATGAGAATGCATGTCCAGCGGGACATGGAGCCTCATCAGTAATTCTAATTTTGCCCTGGCCTTGTGATCTTGCTCTGCCATTTGTCTTGTGATATTTTATTGCCTTTTGAAGCATGTGATTTCTGTGACCGACTTCCTATTCATACACTCCTTCCGCTTTTGAAATCCCTAATAAAAACTTGCTGGTTTTGCAGCTCAGGGGGCATCATGGAACCTGCCAATATGTGATGTCACCCGCAGAGGCCCAGCTGTAAAATTTCTCTCTTTGTACTCTTTATCTTTATTTCTCAGACCGACCAACACTTAGGGAAAATAGAAAAGAACCTACATTGAAATACTGGGGACTGGTTCCCCTGATAATGCTGTATTTTATCTTTGTGTTTTAAATTGTTACAGATAATTGTGGCTTCAAAAGTAAAAGTAGTTTCTGGGATTGGTGGATTTTCTGCATGCATAAATGTTTCAAAAACACATCAACTCTTGAATTTTCTGCTTCGGTTTAATCTTAGTTATTATTTAAAACAATAATATATTTTTCTGTATTTTAATCAAGATTTAGTTAGATTTAACAAGTGTTTAAATTTGAGAAATGTGTAAGTCATATGGGATATACAGAACAAAATGTAAAATATGGGGTCTTCCTTATGACATGAAAAGACCAAATGTTTTATCTTTTTTAAATATGAATTTTGACTTTCTAACACTGAACATATACTATCATCTAATTAGCTGGATAGTTCTCGAACATATTCTCTAGATGAATTTTGTGAAGAGCAGTTACAGCAAGCTACCCAGGCATTGAAACAACTTGAGGACATCAGGGATAAGGCAATTTCAGAGATGAAAAGTACTTTTCTAAAGGTAATTCTTTAATTATATCATATTTATCAAAGTTGCAATTTACTGGCTATAGCAATTGATCCAAATTGTCCCTGGAAAAAGTATCTGAAATGGGAAGGTAAGGAACAAAGGTGGTTAATTAACAACTAACTGGTACTGTGTATTTACTATATACCATAATTTTTCCAGGTATGATGTAAAATGCAAAGAAATATATATTTTTATATATATGAATGCATATATGTGTATATCTATATACAACTTATGAAATTTAATATATTTAAATGAAAAGGATGATGATTCTCTAACTTTAGTGGCCAAGAGAATCACCTCGAAGGCTTCATAAAACAAGAGATTTCTGTTTTGGTAGGCACAGTCTGAGGATATACATTTCTTTTCTTTCTTTCTTTCTTTCTTTTTTATTTTAATACTTTAAGTTCTGGGATACATGTGCAGAATGTGCAGATTTGTTACATAGGTATACATGTGCAATGGTGGTTTGCTGCACCCATCAACCTATCATCTACATTAGTTATTTCTCCTAATGCTATCCCTCCCCTTACCCCCTACTCCCCGACAGCCCCAGTGTATGATGTTCCCCTCCCTGTGCCTATATGTTCTCATTGTTCAACTCCAACTTATGAGTGAGAACATGCAGTGTTTGTTTTTCTGTTCCTGTGTTAGTTTACTGAGAATGATGGTTTCCAGCTTCATCGGCATCCCTGCAAAGGACGTGAACTCATTCTTTTTTATGGTTGTGTAGTTTTCCATGGTGTATATGTGCCATATTTTCCTTTATCCATGCTAACATTGATGGGCATTTGGGTTGCTTCCAAGTCTTTGCTATTGTGAGTAGTGCTGCAGTAAACATACGTGTGCATGTGTCTAGAATAGAATGATTTATAATCCTTTGAGTATATACACAGTAATGAGATTGTTGGGTCAAATGGTATTTCTAGTTCTAGATCCTTGAGGAATCACTGTCTTCCACAATGGTCAAACTAACTTACATCCCCACCAACAGTGTAGAAGCATTCCTATTTCTCCACAGCATCTGTTGTTTCCTGACTTTTTAATGATCGCCATTCTAACTGGCGTGAGATGGTATCTTGTTGTTTTTATTTGCATTTCTTTAATGACCAGTGATGATGGGCTTTTTTTTTCATATGTTTGTTTGCTGCATGAATGTCTTCTTTTGAAAAGTGTCTGTTCATATCCTTTGCCCATCTTTTAATGGGGTTATTTTTTTCTTTTATATTTGTTCAAGTTCTTTGTAGATTCCATCTGACAAAGGTTTTTGATTTTTTCTTGTAAATTTGTTTGAGTTCTTTGTAGGTTCTGGAGATTAGCCCTTTGTCAGATGGATAGATTGCAAAAGTTTTCTCCCATTCTGTAGGTTGTCTGTTCACTCTGATGATAATTTCTTTTGCTCTACAGAAGCTCTTTAGTTTAATTAGATCCCATTTGTCAATTTTGGCTTTTGTTGCAATTGCTTTTCGTGTTTTAGTCATGAAGTCTTTGCCCATGCCTCTATTCTGAATGGTATTGCCTAGGTTTTCTTCTAGGGTTTTTATGGTTTTAGGTCTTACATTTAAGTCTTTAATCTGTCTTGAGTTAATTTTTGTATAAAGTATAAAGAAGGGGTCCAGTTTCAGTTTTCTGCATATGGCTAGCCAGTTTTCCCAACACTTTTAATTAAATAGGGAATCCTTTGCCCATTGCTTGTTTTGTCAGGTTTTTCAAAGATCAGATGGTTGTAGATGTGTGGTGTTATTTCTGAGGCCTCTGTTCTGTTTTATTGGTCTATATCTCTGTTTTGGTACCAGTACCATGCTGTTTTGGTTACTGTAGCCTTGTAATATATTGAAGTCAGGTAGCATGATGCCTCCAGCTTTGTTCTTTTTGCTTAGGATTGTCTTGGCTATAAAGGCTCTTGTTTGGTTCCATATTAAATTTAAAGTAGTTTTTTCTAATTATGTGAAGAAAGTCAATGGTAGCTTGATGGGAATAGCATTGAGTCTGTAAATTACTTTGGGAAATATGACCATTTTCACAATATTGATTCTTCCTATCCATGAGCATGGAATGTTTTTCCATTTGTTCGTGTCCTCTCTTATTTCCTTGAACAGTTGTTTGTAGTTCTCCTTGAAGAGGTCCTTCACATCTCTTGTAAGTTGTATTTTATTTTCTTTGAAGCAATTGTGAATGGGAGTTTGCTCATGATTAGGCTCTCTGTTTGTCTATTACTGGTGTATAGGAATGCTTGTGATTTTTGCATATTGATTTTGTATCCTGAGGCTTTGCTGAAATTTCTTACCAGCGTAAGGAGTTTTTGGGCTGAGACAATGGGGTTTTCTTAATATACGATCATATCATCTGCAAAGAGAGATACTTTGACTTCCTCTCTTCCTGTTTGAATACCCTTTCTTTCTTTCTCTTGCCTGATTGCCCTGGCCAGAACTTCCAATATTATGTTGAATAGGAGTGGTGAGAGAAGGCAACCTTGTCTTGTGCCGAAGATTTTTTTGTCTCTATCTCCTTCAGTTTTGCTCTGATCTTAGTTATTTCTTGTCTTCTGCTAACTTTTGAATTTATTTGCTTTTGCTTCTCTAGTTCTTTTAATTTTGATGTTAGGGTGTCGATTTTAGATATTTCCTGCTTTCTCCTGTGGGCATTGATTGCTATAAGTTTCCCTCTAAACACTGCTTTAGCTGTGTCTCAGTAATTCTGGTACGTTATGTGTTTGTTCTCTGTCTTTGTTCTTATTGGTTTCAAAGAACTTAATCATTTCTGCCTTAACTTTGTCATTTACCCAGTAGTCATTCAGAAGCAAGTACTATATGGTGGTGAGAAGAATGTGTATTTTGTTGATTTGGGGTGGAGTGTTGTATAGATGTCTATTAGGTTTGCTTGGTCCAGAGCTGAGTTCAAGTCCTTAATATCCTTGTTAATTTTCTGTCTCATTGATCTATCTAATATTGACAGTGGGATGTTTAAGTCTCCCACTATTATTGTGTGTGAATCTAAGCCTCTTTGTAGGTCTCTAAGAACTTGCTTTATGAATCTGGGTGCTCCTGTATTAGGTGCATGTATATTTAGGATAGTTAGCCCTTCTTGTTGCATTGATCCCTTTACCATTATGTAATACCCTTCTTTGTCTTTTTTTAATCTTTGTTGGTTTAAGATCTGTTTTATCAGATGCTAGGAATGCAACCTCTGCCTTTTTTTTGTTTTTTTGTTTGTTTGTTTGTTTTTTTCTTTCCATTTGCTTGGTAAATCTTCCTGCATCTCTTTATTTTGAGCCTATGTGTGTCTTTCCACATGAGATGTGTCTCCTGAATACAGCACCTGATGGATCTTGACTCTTTATCCAATTTGCCAATCTGTGTCTTTTAATTGGTGCATTTAGCCTGTGTACATTTAAGGTTAATATTGTTACGTGTGAATCTGATCCTGTCATTATGATGCTAGCTGATTATTTTGCCCATTAGTTGATGCAGTTTCTTCATAGTATCGATGGTCTTTACAATTTGGCATGTTTTTGCAGTGGCTGGTACTGGTTTTTCCTTTCCGTATTTAGTGGTTCTTTCAGGAGCTCTTGTAAGGCTGGCCTGGTGGTGACAAAATCCCTCAGCATTTGCTTGTCTTTAAAGGATATTATTTCTCCTTCACTTGTGAAGCTTAATTTGGCTGGATATGAAATTCTTGGTTGAAAATTCTTTTCTTTAAGAATGTTGAATATTGGCCCCCAGTCTATTCTGTCATGTAGAGTTTCTGCAGTGAGATCTGCTGTTAGTCTGATGGACTTCCCTTTGTAGGTAACTCAACCTTTCTCTCTGCCTGACTTTTACATTTTTTCTTTCATTTCAGCCTTAGTGAGTCTGATGATTATATGTCTTGCAGTTGCTGTTCTCAAGGAGTATCTTTGTGGTATTCTCTGTATTTCCTGAATTTGAATATTGGCCTGTCTTGCTAGGTTGGGGAAGTTCTCCTAGATAATATCCTGAAGAGTGTTTTCTCACTGGGTTCCATTCTCCCCATCACTTTCAGGTACACCAGTCAAACGTAGCTTTGGTCTTTTCACATGGTCTCATATTTCTTTGAGGCTTTGTTCATTCCTTTTCAAAATTGTTTTTTCTCTAGGCTTGTCTTCAAGCTTTATTTCATTAAGTTGATCTTCAATCTCTGATATCCTTTTTCCACTTGATTGCTTTGGCTATTGATGCTTGTGTATGCTTCACAAAGTTGTTGTGCTGAGTTTTTCAGCTCCATCAGGTCATTTATGTTCTTCTGTAAACTGGTTATTCTCATTATCAGTTCTTCTAACCTTTTATCAAGGTACTTACCTTCCTTGCATTGGGTTAGAACATGCTCCTTCAGCTTGGAGGAGTTTGTTGTTACCCACCTTCTGAAGCCTACTTCTGTCAGTTCGTCAAACTCATTCTTCATCCAGTTTTGTTCCATTGCTGGTGAGGAGTTGTGATCCTTTGGAGGAGAGGCATTCTAGTTTTTGGAGTTTTCAGCTTTGGTGCACTGGCTTTTCCTCATCTTCGTGGATTTATCTACCTTTGGTCTTTGCTGTTGGTGACCTTCAGATGGAGTTTTTGCATGATCATTTTTTTTTGTTGATGTTGATGCTATTGCTTTCTGTTTGTTAGTTTTTCTTCTACCAGTCAGGCCCCTCATCTGTAGGTCTGCTGGAGTTTGCTGGGGGTCCACTCCAGACCCTGTTTGCCTGGGTGTCACTAATGGAGGCTGCAGAACAGCAAAGATTGCTTCCTCCTCCTTCCTCTGGAAGCTTTGTCTCAGGGGGCACCCACCAGATACCAGCTGGAGCTCTCCTGTATGAGGTGTCTTTCAACCCCTGCTGGGAAATGTATCCCAGTCAGGAGGCACGGGGATCAGGGACCCACTTGAGGAGGCAGTCTGTCCCTTAGCGGAGCTTGAGCACTATACTGGAACATCCGTTGCTCTCTTCAGACCTGGCGGGCAGGGACGTTTAAGTCTGCTGAAGCTTGCCC